AATTTGTTCGTAGCCTCTATATATTGTTCAACAAATATTTTATTGGTATTTTTTTAATTCTTGTTTGTAACTCCTGGCATGTTTTTGTTAGTTGCATGTTTTTTAATTTTAATTATCTATTCTCTACAGTGAAATATTTAATTGATTTTTTCATTTTTACTTTTCGAGAAGTATGCGCGGTTAACGATTCATTTGTTTGGACAAAAGTATTGTAAATAAAATTCAGTTTCAGTCAATTACAGCATTTTTTTAATACGACCCTGTCGTATTTTCTGAAATAAATTTTTTAATACGTTTTAAACCGGCCCTGACTAGGAAACCATAATGGCGCCGACAAGGTCAAATTTTATAGAAATTTTAAACAATGGAATCTGAGTAGAGTTGGCGTGCCGATTGTTTTATGTGCCGTGGTATGGCTGCAAAAGCCGAAGCGAGAAAAAAAAGGCTGGAATTACATTTCACAGGTAAAAATCGATACACAACTTTTGTTATGTGGTCATAAAATGTACATTTTTGTCATTATAGCAGTAAAAATATGTAAAATGCTTTTAATACGTCTTGTACCACATCCTACCAAAACTATTTTTAATAATTCCAAGTAGTATTTTCAATATCCTGTATTATAATTAATGTTTGAAACTATAAAATAATGCTACTCAGCATGGATTTCTCCAGTGGCGTAAGGAATTATAATTAGAGAAATACAATTTCTGCAACAAACATTTTTTTACATATTTTACATGTAAAAAAATGTATAAAGTATTATTATCAAATAGTAAAATATAAAAAAAAACTATAAAAAAATGAAAAATTCTAGTGATAAAAAATCTATATGTATAGTTGTTATATAAAACTTAAATTTACCTGCCAAGATTTGCTGGGGGTGGACAAACTTGTCGTGGACTACTTGTTACTATATTTTTTTAAATATTCTTTCAAAAAATTTGCTAATTTAGGTGTATAATAACAGTTTCAGTAAGTAATTAATAAAATTTTAAAAATAAATAAAATAACACAAAGCTTCTAGAATTGTTTATTTTTTTTGTAGAAAATTAGAATATTCTTATGATTGAAGGTAACAAATATTAAAAATTACATTATTCATTGAATCCGTAAGCAAGTGTGATGGGGATTGTCTATATTCATTATTATACCGTTTGATCGCAAAAAAATGACGTCCAGTTGGCTTGTAAATGACGATCGACGACATTCCCCATATAAATTTACATATAAAATGACAGCGATCTTCATTTCATAGCCATCGCTGACGCCGTCTTTTTTCGATGTCATTTTGTATAGTTTTTATGTAATTTTATATGTAGAATTATATGGGGAATGTAATCGATCGTAATTTACAAGCCAACTGGACGTCGTTTTTTTTTCGATTAAACGGTATAATAATGAATCTAGCCAATTCTCTCCACACTTGCTTACGGATTCAATATTCAATTAATAATGTAATTTTTAATATTCAGTTGTGAAATTGTCATTTCCAAACAAACAAGACGCCGTTTTTTTCGATCATACAGTATATATGTATATACACGTTTAAAACATATGTTATTACATTATTTTTTATTTAATTATACATTATACACACGTTAATAAATAAATAATTGTCTTGATAATCAGTCCACTGTGACTGTTAAATAAATTTTGCATTGTCGACTTAGATATTCTAATATTATAAAGGTGAGACTATAAAATACAAGATTGTATATGCATTACTCAAAAATGAACGATATATTAGTTTACTTTTTAATAAATATTTTGTATCGTCTAGGCAAAGGTCTAGGTACAAGCTAATTTCTGATGCTACGCCATTGGAGAATTTCGAGTGGTGACAAGTGGCCTCACTTTCAGCGGCCGTGTTACCTGTCCCCTCTCTTTCCTTGTCTAAGCTGTCATCACTTGATCTCAACGTGTTTTCGGAATACGGCCAGCGTTGCCATTGTTAATGATAAAGTCCTGAAATCTTACTATTTTTTTATTTGTGTACATAATTAATCTTTTTGAATTAATTAATCTAGGTATATTTTATCCTTACCTTATAATACCGTATGATCGAAAAAAAAACGGCGTCCAGTTGGCTTGGAAATGACGATCGATGACATTTCCCATATAATTTTACATATAAAATGACAGCGATCTTCATTTCATAGTCATGGTTGACGCCGTTTTTATTCGATCATACAATAGCTTTTTTCGTTTTCCTGTTATTACCGATTCTGAACCGTCCTAGAACTGTGATGCGTATGCGCAGAAGGAAATATGAAGACATTATTTAATTTGCGCATGCGCTGCAGATTTCTAGGACGGTTCAGAATCGGTAACAACAGGAAAACGAAAAAAGCTAATATTACTTAAAGAAAGAACTAATTTTCAGAACTAAGAACTAAATATTATTAAAACTTAAAATAGATGCAGGTTGTTAGCGTTTAATAAAAAATATTTAGAAAATTAAAACTCTGTAATAGAAAATTAAATAATATTTTATCGCAAATATAATATATTAGCGACGCTAATAAGTTGTGTTATCTTTAAATGTAATATGTTTTTTTATGTAAACTATGATTCTTTAACATACAGTTACATAGTTTTAATCATCTGCATTCTTAGTTTTAATCATCTGCTGATGCACTGCAGAAGTAAAGTGTTTTGGGGTATTGTGGTAAATTAGTGTTTTATTTTGCTGTTGTAACACCCCGGTTCCAACCCTCAACTCTAATTATGTTATTTGCTTTTTGGTTTGTTTTAACTCTTATGATAACAGCTGATAAATATTCGAAATTTTCTTAAAATTGTTTTATTTATAATTGCTTTCAACAATACCCGACAGATATCAGAGACGATACAGGTTTTCCTCTCTTTTTCCATGGAATACTTTTAATTTATTATTCTTTGTTTATCTAGATTTCTCAGAGCACTATGAACGAACTCAGCGTGTATGTTTGAAATAATCGTTGAGTTGGCTTAAAAATGATGATTGATGACATTTCCTATATAATTTTACTTTCAAAATTATGATATATGTATCTTCATTTCTAAGCCATCTATGACGCCATTTTTTTCAGTTTTGTTATAATTAATTTTGTCTCTTGATCTACTTGTAACATTATTCTTTTAATTTTATTAATTTATTGTGGTGAAATTAATTTCTGTTGTATATTTGATATTGATATTAAAGTTCATATTTTTAAAAATGGTGTATTTTTGTGTTTTTATCTATGTCATAATTAAAAATAAATGAAGAAATAAATTTTTTTATCTTTTTAAACTTCCCGCCATGCGTGACAATTTAGTCCGTAGTTCCTACAAGCGAAATTGGGGGCGCTAGTAGCAGTAGACTTGTCAACAGAGTCAAATTTAAACGTCAATTTCACTTTCCAATATTTAGCAAGGCGCTCGCACTTCTTCTTGTGTATGTGTTTTGTGATAGTTCCCTTGTGCTACCTTCTCGGCCGAGTAGGAGAAGTTTACTACACCTCTTCCCCAGAAAGATGGTAGGTTTGAGGGTTGTATAAGGTTATACTCATAAAATAATTAACTAGAAAGAAGTGTCAACTCTGTGTTAAATCGTGGAAACACGATACGCCACCGAAAGCCTTCGTTGTCGTCTGGAGAACTAATTTTCCAATTGACAGGTTGACATGATAAGGACATGATGGCTTAATTTTCATTTCCGTTTCCGGTTATTCAATGGCGGGCCCTCTTTCAGTTCAAATGTATTTTGTATTTTTTCTTTTCATAAATAAAACCAAAAAATAATTTATTCACATATATTTATTTGAAGTATGGAACAACGTGACTAAATAAACATAAAAATATAGAGGATTGTATTGTTTCAATACCAATTAGTTAATTATATGTACTTTTAACGTAAATTAGTTAAGGTATAAGCATGACTTACAGTAATTTGTAAATAAACACACGTATTCGCAGACTTCAAGGACAGAAAACGGACACAGGGACATGAAAACGGGAGCCTTATACAAAAACCTGAAAACAGAAAAACAAATTTTTTTATACTAAAATTAACAATCTAAAAATATCAATAGGTATAAAATATAAATATACTGTTTAAAAAAGCGTCCATTATTCCCAAAGAGACCTGGCTTATAAATCAAAAAGAAGCAAAAAGAGACTTTTAGTCGGATAACATAATCAGATTATCAGTCCGATTTATTGCATTATTGACAATAAATCGCACATATTGGAGATAAATGATGTTGGCTATAGTTAAAAATGATCTTACCTTGCTGTAAATTGTTTCCATTTTCAAAAAAATCGCCGATCAAAGAGATTATAACACCATTTTCTTGCATCTAAAAAATGTACAAACAGTGTTTATTTACTACCTATTTTTCATATACATGGGACATACCTACTATTGCAGAAACGTCATTTTCTCCAGGATTCTTCATGTGATATATATATTATATACTTTATTACCTTTATATTTATAAATTTCAGTCGAAATATTAAATTGAACCACTGCCGTTCTTTAAAAGATCAGCCTCGGGGCGGACTTTTGTTTACTTCATCAGCTGTACATACTTAGATATTGGGTTAGATTCCGTTTCATATTTTGTCGGTTGATTTTTGGTTTTATTTATTATTGTAGTGCAAAAAACTAATTATTTTGGTGTTTAAGTGACATAAACTACTACCAGATATATGGTCACTCTCGGTTTCGCATAAAAAAATAGAAAAATTGAAAAATTACACGTTGTGTAAGTGATTTAACCTAAAAGTGCCCACACATTTTTTACTTATCGTGGTTTTTGTGTGTGTTTTTTAAGACTCTAACAATTCATCAATAAAGCTTAAGTGGAGAGGATACATTAAAATACGCAACCAACCGTCATTGAACCGTTCAATCAGATCAAAGGAGTAATCGTCGTAGATCGTGCGTTATCGGTAATGTTCGGTGCCTGGAGAAAATTGACAATTGACAAGAGAATTAATTGTTTATTATTTATTATTTTTGACTTTTTAGTTCGTTTAATTTAATAATTACTAAAACCAGTAGTTCGAAAGATATATTTAAAAATAAAAGATAAAATTCCAAAAAATTAATTATCTATTAACGTGGATTTGGACGACAATAGGTAAGAACACTAAATTATTTCTATATTCGATATAAACTTGTTTATTAGGTTTTTAGTTTGTGATGTTTCATGTGATGATCATTTTCATGTTCATCGTCTTTGAATTGACATGAGGATATCTATGGAAAAGTAACTAATCTGAAAGTAAGCCAACATATCGTTTGTCCTTTGTGTGCTAAAGAAAAGATTTTCTTTTCGCATCGTGAGGAAGTATTACATCAATTAAAAAATGTTAGGAAGTTGATTACTTGTCATGGAAAAGTATACCAATGGAAATTATTTGTTAAAGAAGTATAATTCTAAGGGTAAATTTTATTATAATTAGTAACCTGTCTATTTTTTATATGTAGATGTTTCAGGTTTTAAGAATAAATTGGTTGAACCCAAAATCTGGAGGAAGTACCTATATCCATACACAGAATATGCCCATTAAGAATACTAGTCCAAATTTGCTTTAATGGTAGGCAATTATTCAATACAAATTAACTTTTTAAGTGACTGAAATATTAAATAGTTTAGAATATGGTATAACAATGTAAAAAAATACTATTTTCAGGAACGATTAGGGCCCGATATATTTGAAACTCATGTTGGACATAGTATTGAGTTGGGTAGAATATTATTCTACGTTAAGTGAGGATATCAGATACCTATTATTGTACTGTATTTTAATATATACATTAGAATTGTTGGTTTTTTCATATTTGTTTTATATATTATTTTACTTACAAGTTATATAAAGTTAACACTAAAATCTACTTTTTGACTTATATAAGTTAGTCTGTGGTTTAATGCGTGATTACATCCACATTATGATTTCAAGTTTTTAAAATATAAATATTATAACTGGCTTTAAAAACTCCATTAAACTGTTAAAAGTGTAATTTATTTCAAAATAAATATACATATACCTATACCTAGGTATATATTAATATCGAAAAATATATATTAATATCGAAAACATTTTTATTTCCTTAACACCAATTTAATCATCACATACATATGTATAAACATTTATTTACGTTATTTCAAATGAAGACCACAGGAAAAACCAGCTTTGTTCATTTTAACTGGAGCCGAGAAAATGCAATTACGAGTGAACTACTCTGGTTTTTCTCCTGTAGGGCAAAATAACTAAGCTGTAATATCTCTGGGACTAAGCATATTATTATTGCTTTCTTTGATGGTGCCTCGAATAATGCTAACACTTGCCTATAAAATTGTCTCGCTATCAATTTCTATGAAAATGTAACATATTATCTGGTTTTTTCCGTGTAGTCTTCAAATGATCTAAAAATTCAGCAGGAATGATCCATTATGCAGCAAACACACTGATGTTGAATCATGGGAAGCTTTTTTGTGGGCATTTCACAAATAAAATTAAATGTCTGATCAAAAACTGAAAATGCAAAACAGATAGTAAGCTTTATAAATACATACATATACTATATATAAGTCTGTCCAACGAGAAGATCCTTGACAGTGATAGATGTGTCTGTCATTTTAATTTCAAAGTAGTTTATTTTATTTTACAAAGAAATAAGTTGGTACAACTGGAACGCATAGCAGGAAATATTTAAAATTTGATTGACAAGATGACAAGTGATTACTTCAAAATTGTATAAAACTGAAAAAATGTAATCGAGTTATTTTATTTAATAAAAACGGTATGTGTTAATACAAAACAAACAAGAACAAGGCACTACATACCAAAAAAATATAAAAAATAACTATTATTTACTTTCAAGCTTTATGAAACTACCCGCATTTATGATTATATTTATCAATATAACTTATGTACAAATACAAATTTGTAATATTCCACAGGTATAAATAAAACAACATAGGTAAATACAACAACTATTTTATTAATAATAACACCTACCAAATTTTATACCTTAAAGGTGGATTAATTACCTTTAATCTTAATTTTTTTAAACCAGTACCTTTTGACATTATTTTTCTGCACCAGTACTAAAATCCATTATTTACCTATCGTGTGATGTCGATATTTTACAGCTACTCCAGTTTTTAGTATGTGTTTAGTTTGATCCTTATATACGAAATGCACTTATCTACGACGAAATGGTATACAAACTTTATCGATGGCAACTTCATTGGTGTATAAGACTTTCTGCCTGGGCAGCGTGTATTAACCATAAACTGTGCTCTGGGCCTACAGTTAATTTTCACTCGATTTTTCCTCCACTTGACTTCAAAAGACACAAAACACACGTAATAATACGAATCAAAATGCATGCATCTTCCAAAACGCAGGGTAGGGTCTTGTCCACTTTAGGTACATCAAAATTTTAAAATTTTCTATACAGAATTGAGAAGAACACTTATAATGACATTTCTAACGAAAAAAGTGCGGACGTCCATAAACAACCCCAGAATTTTACGGGATTGGGGGGTGCGAAAAGGGGTGCTGGGTGGGGTATTTCAACATTGAATTTTTATTTATTTTGGCCTTCTAAAGTAATAATTTCACTATATTTTCATTATATTATAGTTTATCTTCAAAGCCACACTTGATTGAGGATAGAAAATGTCCAAAATTTTACTGAAAAACACTTTTCTTAACAAAGAAAATTGGAGACCAGATGGAAGATGGAAGTTTGACATTTCATATATCCTTCTTTTCTCTCTTCTATGCAATGAGAGAGACAAATATATTCTCTAAACCTAATCTAACAATTTGAAAATTTTGCAACGTTGCTATCTTTGTATTTTTCGGGTAATTACGGATTTTAAATAAATGACCTATTACGAAAGCTGACAATAAGCAACAGGGAATCAATAAAATTGTGCGAAGATAGAAGTTCCAGCAACAAGTTTATCACCAAGTTCAATGCGATTTGATGTAAACAGTGGTGGTGAAATGCCGATGAGAATGGTTATAAGTTGTGATTGTGTTAGTGTTTTTATTAATGGTTTTGTTGATTTTAAAGGTTCATGGTTTTTCAGTGAAACATTTTGCAACGTTGCCATATCTTGTATTTTTCAGGTAATTACGGATTTTAAATAAATGACCTGGCCAAAAGCTGGGGACAGCTAAATATGTAACCACAAAATTGCACGAAGGAGTTTTAATAGCATTGGTTTACTAGAAGCTAGTGAGCCACTCCACTTTTGCTCTTGCTTCCGCGCATGCTGCATGAGTTATGCCAAAATCGATCAGGTTTTGCATTGCAATCTATAAATACAAAAAACTCACACCAAAGACTAACCTGATGGTGTATTTTGATCGCCGTTACCAACGACTCTAAATAAATAAAAAAATAAAAACAGTTTTAAAAAATAAAACAGCTGTAAAAAATAAAAAAGTTTTATGTCTACCGAGGTTCGATCCACCGTCCGCAAAAAAGTTAAAACCAATGCAATCAAAACTCAGTTACGGCGGACGTTTTTACCATTGTGATCCTCTCTTTCTCAACCTTTAACACAGATCAAAGTATAATATCTATTCTTATCAATCAGCTTAATATCGCTACCGCTATTTTCAAAATTAATAGGAAAGTATAAATAAAACAATATCCGATTTAGCATTGGCAACGTTGTTTTAAAGTTAAACGCAATAATACAACCAGTAAAACACATTCTCTCCCACCATCTGTCATAATACTCGTCGCACACACATTGAAAACTTATCGTAAATTTAACCTAAAATAATAATTTTAAGTATCAATAGTGAAGTGATCTCAAAAAAGTTAAACGAAAATAATCACAACCAGTGAAAACACATTCTCTCCAATCTGTCATAATTATCGCTTTTTGATTGAAAACTTATCGCAAATTTAACCCAAAAAGACAATTTTAAGTATCAATAGTGAAGTGATCTCAAACATTTAGCCGACGATCCGTACTTAAAACGTTAAAATATTAATTGTAGAACATATTAATATCAAATTTACATCAATAACTTCAAGATTGGCGATATACCTAAAAGTGGACCAGACCCTGCAGGCAGAGACATGCACAGAATACTAACGAATAAAGAAGCCCAAAGTTTCCTTGCAATAAATCGGTTCCATTTTTCGTAACGCCATCTCTCGACATAGCTGACATTATAGGTTAGCCAAGGGTGTGGGCCGGGGGAATTTTAATCTTTATTTTAATTATTTTATTCGTTATTTGTAATTTATTTTTAAACATATATGTGAAATAATCACATAATATGTCTTAAAAATACAACGGTTACAAATTGAAACAAAAAGGAATTAAATAATCTGAAAATCTACAAAAGTTTATTGGATAGCAATAAAAATTAGGCTATGCAAATTGGATAAGTATATTAAGTATAACCTCTTTGGTATAAGCCGATGTAAACAAACATTAACAAATCATAACATATCAGATCATAGAACTAAAAAGTACTATTACATAAAAAACAGGTGATACAATACTTAAAATTACTCTTAACATAATATCAAAATTGGTATAACATTAAACAAACATTAACAAATCATAACATATCAGATCATAGAACTAAAAAAGTACTATTACATAAAACAGGTGATACAATACTTAAAATTAATTTTAACATAATATCAAAACCGAAAATCAAACTGCAAACACAAATCACATTCTATCACAACAGAAATTAACACACTTCCGCGGCAAATGTCCAAGAAAGACTGATCATTCTGATTGGCCCTGGTCCAGTCGTAGCTCACGTCCGTATTGTCGGTAAGCAAAATCCCTGTCCAAGTACTTTGACGACCAGCGCCATCATCCGTCATAATTGGAAAACTTTTGCTGGAACTATTTTTAATATTTCACTTACATGGCCCTGGGCCCCTTACAAGTTTCCAAATATGACGGATGATGGCGCTGGATCGTCAAAAATTTTGACAGGGATTTTGCTTTACCATTGCTGACGTGAGCTACGACGTGGATAATCAGGACCAATCAGAATGATCAGTCTTTCTTTGACATTTGCCGTGTAATTAAAGTTAATTTCTAATTGTGATAAGTGTGGTTGTGTTTGCAGTTTGATTTTTTCACTTTTGATATTATGTTAAAATTAATTTGAAGTATTGTATCACCTGTTTTTATGTAATAGTAATTTTTTTTAGTTTAAGGATCTGGGATATGTTATGATTTGTTAATGTTTGTTTCAATGTTAACAAAAGAGGTTATACTTAATATATTTATCAATTTGTATATAGCCTCCACTCCTTTTTATCAATAAACTTTGAAAGAAGGCTTTGGGTTTCTTCCCCACCCCAGTTATTTGCCTTGTTTTTGTTAGAGTTCCCTTGTACAGTGGAATTTGGTTAGACTGTATGTTATGAGGTCAATTCCTTTTGTTTCCTGTTTGTAATTTTATTTATTAAGACATATTATTCGATTGTTTCACATAATATGTTTTAAAAATAAAACTGCAAATAGCGAATAAAAATAACTATGTGAAAAAGTGTATTTTACAAGTCCCGGCCCTGCACCCTTTATTAACCTATAATGTCAGTTGGTGTCAGAGATGCTGTTACGAAAAATGGAAGGGAATTTAAATTTACCCAGGAACTTGGGCTTTTTTCGTTAGTATATTCTATGCCCGCAGGGTGTTGAATTTAACAAAGTTGACACAAAATATAATCTATAATTTGGCAAGACTTTGACAAGCGTCAAAAATGACAAAAATCTAAAGGCGAGTTCATACGCATCGGCGTCCGTTTATCGTTCATCGTTCCGTT